TGGAAGAGTGAGGTATGAGGGGAAAAAAAATGGCCATTGCATGTCTTGGGAGAGCCAAGTGTTGCAAGCTACAGAAACAGGCCAGCCAGCAGTATGCTTATGCTTTGGCACTGCTGAGCCTGAGCTAGTGAGACTGGAGCTAAGCAGTGATGCTGGTTGTAAGGGCTTTCTAGCGTGGATGCCACGCTGTGCAAATGAAGCTGTGCTGCCTGGGGATCTGAGATGCTGTACTCATGTAGTGCTGCATCATGCTGTATGATCTTATGATCTTCCTCTATCTTTTTTTAAAAGTCTAGGGTTGTCTGCTTTCTGCATGATTGTATGGTACAAATAGGAAGATTAGAGGGGTCACCATCTCGATGACATACACTTGAAAAAGATGCAAACAATGTAGTCTTTATGGATGCACTGAGATGAGGCATTCAAGGTAGTAGGTTTCCTCCTGCTTCAGGGCTCCAAAATCAACAAGATTGTTTTATAACTAATGCCACTTTTGGGGCAAGTTATACAAGATGTCTGTCATATGAGATGTTAGAAGATGTTCCCCTCTCTTCCTTGAGTTAGCCCCCCTTGAACTTTTTATTTCTCTTTCAGAATAGAAGAAATCTCTACAAGCACCTACTCTTGACAAATTTAACGTAACTCATGTTGACATCCTCTCTTGTTGCTGTCAAAGTCTTTAGTGAAACTGAATTAAGGCTTTATAGGGAATTGAATAGCTTCCTGTGAAGAAGGGAAAAGAAGGAATCTCCCAGTATTTGAAATATGTGACCAAATGCATGCTGGGTTCTGTGTATAATCAGGCTTTCATCTGTATCCTCATATGAGTTGAAAAAAAAAAAAATTGCAGAATTTTTAAGGTAAGTTCTGAAGTGACATATTATTTTGGTGATCAGAAATGAATTGTTACTTTAACTGTCTATGAAACAAGTCTCTAGTGACACTTTCAAAAGATTTCTGTCACACAGCCTGCTTCTAAATGTGTTTCATAAGACTTACAGCTGAATTGCTGCTGCCGCATAGGAGCATGGGTTTTCATTTTTTAAATGTCTTGTTGTTGCATGTGAGCGTTCAGATTAAATGCATTTTTATGTGCTCTAAAAGTAAGTGCATTAGGACTAAAAGGTCTGTTGGCAAAATTTTTATGATATGCTGAGCAGCAAAGTCTTTATCAAAGGTTAGAGATCCTGAAGTTGCCATGTCTGTGGAGGAGACGTTGGTTCCCTCTTAAAATAGCATCCACTGCAGAAACTCTTGGTAAGGGCAAGTCTGCAGGAAAGCAGAACTGTGTGTTAGGAGACACTGGCAGAGGCCAACTACAGGATGAGGCTCCGTAGCTGAAGGGGTGCTGTAGCTGGTGCTAGTCAGGATTGGGTTTGTGCACAGAGCTTCATAAGGCAGATTGCTCTGAGTCTTGCTCAGACTTCAAGTTGATCAATCGGAGCATAAAATTCCCTCAGAAGACAAATGGAGGGCAAAAAGAATTGGGAGAAATGATAAAAGGCACCACATAGGCAAAGGGAAATTTCTGAGTGTTTGTTTTGCCTGACCATGTGTTATAAATAGTATAACTTTTTGTTGGGATCTGTGGCTCAAATCAGTGTGAATATAGGACCCCATCATGCTGGGTTCTCCTTGTCATCCCTGCGTAGGCAATATTCTGTAAAATTAACTTATTCATCCCATTCCTGGATGCTTTGGGTTTAAGAATAGCTGAGTTCATGGGAGAAATTTGAAGGCAAAGTTGGGTGTGGGAGACAAACGGAAGGATGTTTTCCAGGTTTGTGTCAGAGCACTAGTTCTCGTCACGTGTTTATAGATAAATTCTGAATTCTTCCCACTGTGTATCAGACAAAATATCAACAGCAGAATGAAAGATGCTCAGTAAAAGTGGTCATCAAGCCATTTATTCAAAATAATGCCTTGATTGTGGTGGAAATGAGTGTTTGGTACCTTGCAATACCATTACTGTGCTCACTTTAAACACATATCATTACAGTTTTCATTTTCAAGAATTCATAAAACTTGTTTGAGGATTGGTGCCAACCTGTGTTCTGTTTGTTTTCTTGAAAGAAATTTTAGCTGGATTCAGGACAGTTGTAGACTGACTTATTTTTGAGGTTGGCCAAAGTATGGGAGAGCTGATAGATTTTGTAAAAGCTTAATAGTGATTATTTAAAACATTTTGATCCCATTCTGACTTAACTGAAATAGGAGAGGTTACTCAGTAATGTTAATTCTGAATGAGAGCATGATCAGGTCTTACATTCTTAAGACTTACTTTTATTATGGCTGGGATTGTTTGATGATGAGTGAATATAGTGTATTATAGAACTCAACAAATCCTTACCATAAGTTTTTTAGGATCTCTGGAGCTTTGCAAAATATTTTATAATGTAGAGGAAAGTTTTCTGTGAGGAAGTGGAAAATAATGTTTTGGGGTTTTTTAAAGGAAAACAAAAAAAATTTATCATTTATTTTTTTTCTACTGCCCTTTCTGCAGCTGTGTTTTGTTTTCTTCTACTCAGAAATGTGTATGTTTCTTTGCAGAGGTGTGAATGCTGGAGACAGCAACTTAAACAAATGGGGGGGGTGTTTAGCAGCTACCACTTAGTATCTCTGGAAACCAATCTAGTGGTATAGAAGACTAAACGTAGGCATCTAACTTTGCAAATGCTTGGGAGACCTGGTGTTTATACATGACTTTCCTGTTCCTCTATAACTTAATATACCTGGCTAATAAAACCTATATTGAGATTGTGCTGTAGCCTTCATCAGGGATTACGATGAATTTAATCCCAATACAAACTTAATTTTCAAGTTCTCACGAAGTCTAAGTTCCAATGTTCAGATATTTTGTCATTAGCCTAAATATACCTGGCAATGTTGTGTTTATATCTCTGTTTTAATGTTTATGGGTATGAATAATTTCACTTTTAGTTCACTTACACTCTTTGCATGTCCAAACACTGCACAAGGAGGGAGTTTACTTGTGATTTTAAATATTATTAAGTTCCCTCTTCAAAATAAAATTAATATTTAAATAAGAATCTGGGCCTCTAAAACCTTGACAGAAAAGAGACTCTATTTTAGATTGGTAAATCCACTCCATTTTTATATTCTTCTGTACCTATTGAGAGAATACATACTCAAAATCCATACAGACAATATTTGAAGTTACAGTTACTCAATGATACTCAAAGTAACAAAATTATTTATTTTGCTGTTCGGTTTTCCTTAGTAAATTTATGTTCTATTTCTCACTTAAATTATTTGTCCTCAACTCTAGAGCTATAATAACTTCTCAATAAATGTGAACTAATGGTAAGCTGCAGAGCTTTTTAAAATGCTTTTAAGGTATTTTCTACCTAGTGCAATGCTTTTGTATTAGAAATCAAAATCTTAGCTAACTCTTCCAGAGACTCTTCTGAAAGGAGTCTGACAATTTCCCAGACAGGTGAACAGCCACTTCCCACCACCAGGTTAGCAGACATAGGGTCAGACTGGATAAGAGTTTGAAAGGGTTTGTTCTTAGTTTAGGTGGGGGCTGAGGCAGAATGGAGTTTAAGCACAGTCTGAGCATCTGCTTTGTCCTAAGGTGAAGAACGGAAAAGCTGACAGTCACATTCATATTGTCACTGCTTGATTTTTGCAAGAATTCTTTAACCAACAAAAAAATTAGGGGGAAAGGACAGAAGCATTAGAAAGAAAGGTGAGTATTTGTGTTGTCTGTTAGTTTTAAGAAAGAAGAAAAACTGCCTTTTCAGAAATTTGAAAGTGACAGGCTCTGAATTTATCCTTAGTATATCAGAAAGAGCAGTGAAGGATCACAGTTTTTCCATAGTGATTCTTCGTTAGTTTTTGCATTCACTTTTTTTGCTACTAAATTTAAGACTGATGAATGGCTAGATCTACCAAGTCCTTGTCACGTTTCTAGGCTTCTCGTTTTGGTATTTCTTCCAGCATTCAAGCAGTCTTGATTTTTAGCTGGTATACGTTCATTCTCTTTCCTTACTACCCTGTGGTTCAGAAAGCATTCCATGTTGTATACTTTATTTTCTCCACATGTTTTGCTTCTCCTAGTCCTGTTCCTTAACAATGTATTGAGAGGGTCTGGAGAACAAGTCTTATGAGAAGCAGCTGAGGGAACTGGGGTTGTTTAGCCTGCAGAAAAGGAGGCTCAGGGGAGACCTTATCGCGCTCTACAACTACCTGAAAGGAGGTTGTAGCGAGGTGGGTGTCGGTCTCTTCTCCCAAGTAACTAGCGATAGGACGAGAGGAAATGGCCTCAAGGTGCACCAGGGGAGGTTTAGATTGGACATGAGGAAAAATGTCTTTGCTGAAAGAGTGGTTAAACATTGGACCAGGCTGCCCAGGGAAGTGGTTAAGTCACCATCCCTGGAAGTATTTAAAAGACGTGTAGATGAGGCGCTTAGGGACATGGTTTAGTGGGCATGGTAGTGTTGGGTCAACAGTTGGACTCGATGATCTTAGAGGTCTTTTCCAACCTTAATGATTCTATATTCTATGAGAGCTTGGGTAAAAATTGAAATTTCAATTCTATATATTAATGAACATTAGTACAGTAATTTTTTTCAGTTTTAAAGTATAGGCCTACTTTAGTAGGGTATATCATCTTCACAAAAGTATGCTTATTTCTGTCACTGCAAGTGTTGACTTGCGGTGGCATTTGTAAATAGTAATTCCATTGTCTAGTAGAAAGCAAATGATAGAAGTTGTTTATAGCAACATCTACTTTTTGCTTGTAGTTTAAGTTGGCTTTTTCAGTAAAAGGTAGTGTATGTATCATTTGTCACACAAACCCATATTTAGGAAGAGCAGAAAAAGGAGGAAGAGAGTGTTGAGTTCAATCTACAGTTTGTGCTAACCTGTGGAGGAAAACAGTATTGTACATCATCTACAGTTTGTGTTAACCTTTATTATCACACTAGCTATTTAGATAGTCTTTTTTGTGCTAATAATGATGATCCTTGTTACAGGCAGATGCAACGGAAGCCAGAAGCGCCTGCAGTCACTTATGCAACATATCGAGGTTCTGCAAGGATTAGGCAGCTACTGAAGAATCAATCAGAAATGGCTGGAAAAGGAGAAGAAAGTACTGAGAACAGAAATGGTTCAATGGTCAAAGAAAATGGAGAAATCCAAACAACTGTCTCTCTGAAATCAGGACACTTAATAAAAGAAAATGGAGAAGATGAGGGTAAAGATCACAAAGATGATGTCATAGTAAATTCTTCTGCAGTTAAAATTGGAACAAAAAAGTCTGGTAAAGCTCAGCATTGCTTGGGTAGCAGTAAACATGAAATAACCGCAAAGACCACAACTTCATCTATTGAATCATCTCTTGAGATAGACTTAAAACATACACCTGCTTTAGCTGCAACAAAAGTTAAAAGAACATATTCACTAGATTCATTACTGTCATCTAGTAGTAGAAATAATGAGATCCTAACCAATTCCACTTCCCAGATTACCAATTCCCTTAACATGAGTTCTGCAGGCGATTTGGTTGGAAAAGAAGTTGGACTGCTGGGAGAAGTAGAAGCTCAGTTTCAGGCAGACAAAAATGCCACTTCTAACTTTGATAAAGAAAATCATTGTAGTAAAGCAGCTAAGGAGTCCACAAAAGAAATGCAGGATGATTGTTTACATTCACCCAAATCAAAAAATAAGACAGTTAATGAAGAACTACAGGTGAGTAAGGGAGAATATTGCTGTAATCATCAAATGGATAGTCACTTGGAGCTAACATCGGATGTCCAGATGCTTCATTCCAGTACCACTACTTTTCAGCAGCAAGCAGATCAGCATACAGGTAGTGCAAATAAAGATAGTGATCCAAGAAAAAGCGATGCACAGAAAATTGTGGCAGCTGTAGAAAGAGAGCAAAATCCACAAAACTTTCTTTCTGCTGCTCTTTTACCTTTTAATGAACAAATACCCACTTCACTTAGCGTGGAGTCCAGAGGAGAATGCATAGCCGCGGGTGATCTAACTGCTTCAGTGTCATCTATTAAAAATGATGAAGATATAATCATGGGCAGGGGGACTTGTAATGAAGAACTGAGTGAGTTAGGGAGACCAATGCACATACAAAACGATCACCAGTTAAGCCTTGTGGAGAATTCTAAGGATACTGTCACACTGCAGACTGGTTTACCTTGTCTAGAAACTGAGGGTGTGGAAACAATGAAGGTTTTATCTGAGGTTGCAGTGGAGAACCTTGCCAATGTATCGTCTTGCATACATGGGTGTAAGAGTGTGAAATCTAACTTCGATGAGCTAACAGCACCTCTCCCTGTTACTTACGAGTCTTCTGTTGAAACTGGAGGCTGTTGCTCAGCTTCTCCTCATCCTGGTTGCAAGACCAAAAATAAAACTATAGGGAAAAGAGAAGTCAGTTTAAAAGATGTGAGAGAGACTGTTTCTCGTCCTGATCGTGAGTGTGAGAAGAGCGAATCCTCTGAGCCTGTAGAGATGAGCCTCTCAGAAAGCTCAGTTCCTGTCCACAACTGTGGTGCTGTTTCCCTTGAAACTGTTCAAGACATTCCTGCCAAGGCATTAGTTACACTCACAGAAGATAACACAGCAAAGCCTGCACCTTGCCCTTTAATCGGCATTGATAGGACAGACGATTGTACTCCTGCTGCTTCTAAAATCGGTAAGATTGATATGACTGAAGTTGCTCCTGTTCCTTCTGAGAGTAAGGATTCCGCCTCTGAACTTTCCTCTCGTATTTCTAAGTCACAAGAAAACATTCTGGAGGTTTCTCATTCTGCCTTGAGATATGGAGAAGGACCTTTGACCAACCATTCTGCTTTCATCTGTGAAAAAGGCGTTGATGTAGACATCATTTCTGAATCTCCATCTGTTTCTGAAGATAGGCGTATTAATTTTTCTTCCAAGAAGGAAAACAGTAATAAGCCTAGGATATCACCCACAGCACTTGATTCTTCATCTGACAACCAAGGAAAAATGCCTTCCTCTGCCATTAACTCTGAAAATGGCCAGATTGCTAGATGGTCTGCTGCTTCTGAACAGGACAGCTTTATTTTTCCAGCTGCTGAGTTCAGGAGCATAATCCTTGAGGACAGAATGACTGAGGTGCCACTTCACTCAGGAGACCCGAGAGCTTCGTGCCCGGCTGGTTCTCTGGAACCTGAGCTTACTCCAGCTATGCTTGATCACTCTGCTGCTGGAGTAGAGGTGGGGGGTGTTTGCATCCCCAGGCCCTCTTCACCTACTCTGGGATCCAGAGAAGTCTCCAACCTTTCCGTTTCTGCCTTGGAAACATCGGGTGTTGCTCAGGGGAACAGTTATTCCTCCAGTCGCAGAGCTGGTGATGGGGCAGAGGTGGCCTCTTCCGCACAACAGGCTGGCGGCAGTGTCTTGGCAGAGGCAATGCCATCACCCATCTGTCCTTTGAAATCTTTGGAAATGGTGTCTGAGTCAGCCTGTACTGAGAGCGTGTGCAGAAATGCTGTGGGACAGGTGAATCTTGGTAACTGTGCTGCTGCTATCTCAGAAGCCCCTTCTGTGACGGATGATCAAACAGCTGCTGCACCTGCGGAGTCAAACGAGCTCTGTTCTGAGGAAGTACAGGAAGATACCAATGTGAAGGGACAAGAATGTGCTAAATTCCAAGATGCTGCTGCTTTGTTTAAAAAAGCTGAGGAAATAGTGGACTCAGTTTTACACTTGGCTATAGAAGAAATAATAGCAAAACAAGCCATTGGTGTCTGCCAGCTTTGTGGGAGCAAGGGTGGTTTAATAAATACAGATATTCTAAATTATCAGAAAGCTGGAACTGTACAGCTGGAAGCAGAAGAAATCCAGCCAGCTGTGCAGTCATTAAAACATTTTAACGAGAGCAGTGGAGGAGGCTCGTCTTCATTTACAGGAAATGAAACAGTGGATGCAAATAATCAAGATGAAAAGATACTACCTTACATCCCTGATAAAATGGACCTCCATAGTGCACTAGCACTAAAAGCAAAAGAAATAATTGATGAAGTCATTAATTCAGCCAAACAAAAACTGGTATCCAATCAGTGGCAAGGCAGTGAGAGTAAAAGGCCTTCTGAAAAGGTTGAGCCTAAACCTACGGCTGAAACCCCAAAGATTTTAAACCTGGATATGAAGTTACCTGCCAAAACACAGGAACCAACAGAGGAGGCAGAAACTCAGAGTATAGCTGTAAACCGTGAAAACGTAGATTGCTCAGGTCCTCCTTTACTTCCAGATAGTATGGAAAATGGCATAGATTGGCCCCAAAGAGTTGAAAAGATACCAAATAATGCATTTATATGTCAAACAACTGGATTTCTACCCACAGGTAGTTCAGCAAGGCCAGAATCAGATCTTATGACACCAGCCAAAGAGAGGCACGATAGAAAGGTGTGTGAACATCTGGCTGCAGCAGAGTTGTGTGGCAAAGGTGGAGTATCAGCAACTAGTAGAAAATCTGATGGATCTTTACATTTAATACCTAGAGATGCTACTGTGACTGAAGAGATGCTTCTGTCATTGCAGTTAAAAGATTCATGCAGTAATACAAATATGCCAGAGTGCACATTGCTGCCCACTGTAAATGTTAATTTGTCATCTTTTATGCCTGATGAAGAATGTATCAGCATGCAGTGTGAATCCAAAGACAAAAGCAGTCCTCAGGGTTCTCTGGAAAGCAGTACAGAGGACAGTCCGTATGAACACTGTGGAAGAGAGGCTGCAGAAGAAGTACTTGCACAAGTAAAAGCAACCTTAGAAGATTCAAAGGCAGTGGAGAGTGAAGAGGAACTAGCAGAATGGGCAAGTGAGATAGCAGAGGTTAATACTGGATTAAATACACAGTTCGCTGTACCTGAATTGTCTGTTATCGGAGAGGACAGTGAAGGGAAAAACTGCTTTAACGCAGTTTTTGCCCAGAATAATGAGAATCCAAAGCAGGTACAAATGAAGGATCAAGACATGAAGAGGAATGATCAGCTTGAAGAAAATAGTCTGGACTGTAGTGATGACATGAAGGAATCGACGGATCTTTTGGCCTTTTCTCCACTAATTGAACAGTGGGAAAACAGTTCTTTTACTATCATTTATGAAGGTGCCCTTCAAACTGAGAACAAATCTGTCTCAACTGATGATATGCAAACTGGTTCGCTTTCTTCTTCTGTTCTGCCTTCGGATAATATAGATCATCTAATGTGTGAAAGAGCAAAGACTAAATATGAGCCAGCCTGTCTTTATGGGAAGGATAACAAGTTGAGTGAGGCAACAGATGACCGTAGCTCAGAGTCATTTCTGAGCGTGGAGGCCAAGCGCTATAGAGTATATCCTTTCTCTTTGTCTCCAATATACGAAGACGACAGCTCCCAAGAAGACTTACTTTCCACAGATGTGTCACCAGAAGGCCGTCCTAGTGGACTATCTAAAGATAACATTGACCACACTTCTGTGCTATCCCTTCTCCAGTCGGTTTCTGAGCGCTTACAGTTTACTACTCAGTTCAGTAAAGAGGATGAGGAGGAGGGAGTGGAGGACGAGGAGGAGGAGGAAGAATCATCATATGAAGAAAATATGCTTGATGTTGAGAGAGAAGAAGAATGTCTTTCCAGTCAGTGGAGAGGCAATTTAAAAACAGCCCTTCCATCAAACGACCAGACTAGATCTTTGTTTCCTGAACAATCACCTCTTCTTTCAAAAGAAAAACTTGACCCTAAGGAGCAACCAGAACTGTTTCCAGATGCGGCTTCTCCTGGTCAAACACCTTGTAAGCCAGTTTCACAGAAAGCTGATGCTGCTCTAAAGCATCCTCCTCCAAGTGTGTACTACCAGTATTTGAAATCTGCCAGCAATTGCTCCTCTGAGAAGGGGACCAGGTTTGGAAGCATTCTCCAGGATATGTTGCAGCCAAAGATTCATTGGTCTCAAGACAACACCATGCCAAAACTGGGAGAATTGTCAGCGGTAAGATGTCGTGTCATATAATATTAATAATCAAAGTGATTAGCCCAGATTCAAAATTGCTGTCTCCCTATTCTCCTTCCTCCCTTTTTAAGGTTAATTCTTTTATCATAAACAAAATTAATTAGGCTGTTTAAGATCATAGTTTAAAAAATATCTGCTAAAATAATTTTAAAAACAGTATTCTTGGTTCAGCACACAGATGAAAGTGACTTAATTGTAAAACAGAAGATGTGAACAGAAAATATAGTAGGAAAATATACATAATAGCAAGTCTGTATAATAGCAAAACACAGACTTGTCCATGTTAAGGACATTTCAACCTGAAGATGATGGAATTGCCTTTTAAATGAAAATTGTTCTTTCATTTCTTCCATTTCTGAGATTAGTAGAGCTGTATTGTCCAACAAATACAAATATCTGCTTACTGGACTATTTGATTGTTTCATCACAGAGTCTTCTACAAATTGTAGCTCAGTTAGCAAGTAAGTAATATAGCTGCTTCTGTAGATTAGCATTTCTTTTTTAGTTTATTTAAAACAATGGCAGATGAGGGTATGGAAACGGTTCTTCCAATATTCAGAAATTGAAAAGGCCGCATAGACCAAATGCATAACTGAAAAATAAAGCCTTTCCATGACGTTGGGAATATTTCGGTCTGTGTTAGAGGTCTGCTTTGGTTTTGCCACTATTAAGACATGCAGTTTATTGTTTGCTGGGAAAGGGTAATACATTTTCAGAAGTTACAACTTCCATAATAGTTCTTCCTTTCTAGCATTTGCTGCTTTCTGTTGATTGTTTGATTCTGTTAAACTATTTACACCAACTCTGAATGACAGTGAAACAAATCTTGGTTGTTTCTGCTAGTGACAGTTGTATGCATTTATAGGAATAGTGGACCCAGAATAATCTGTCTGTGCTTTGTGCTACTGTTGTAGATGTTAATAGTTGCTTTCCATGTCCTTTTAATTTCAGAACCTCATTGACAGGGCAAGTCTCAAATACAATCCAAGACCGGGAAAGGTGAGCAGAATTTGTGTCACATAGATCAATGTGATACATGGAATAATTTGTTGTATGAAAATTTTAGAATTGCCAGCATCTGAAGTTGTTAGTCTAGTTTTCTGTATTTTAATGGTACATATGCTTGCACATGCTAACAATGAGTTTATATTATTAAAAATCCTGCCACTAGTAGTTTTACTGTATTTCTGTCAGTAGCTGCTGTTTTAGTTCAGTAGAGTGTTTCATAAAAGAAGAAAATGTGTAACACATCAGTTGAGTGGGCACAAAGTGAAGTAAGTTTTATTCCAAGCAAAAAATAACTGTCTACACTGTATGTTGAAATGGGCCCTCATTCGTATGCATTGTATGTTGTTTCAGATTATTATTTATGATATTTATGGTGACAAAAGTAAACAAGAAGTTCATTCCGATGTGCTAGATACCACGTCCTGGATCTTTCCCATTGGGGCATTACTGAGGATAATTAGAGGATGGTAAGAAATCCAGGTCATATTTAAATAGAGTCTTTCCAAAAGACTGTCTATGTGTTTCTCTTGTATTTTCATTTCTTTTATTTATGACACACGTCTGATCTGCAAGAGTGTCTTTTTCTTTCTTTATAATTAGACTGATACAATGAAAAAAGCATGAAAGGAGGCTTCAAATGCTGCAGTACAAAAAAAATATATTGTTTCTCCTGGGAACTAGCTTCAAACAAAGTTTCTAACAGAACCACGAGTAAGTTTAGACTTCTTGCCTGAAGTGGTGAGACAGTACAGCCGTAATCATCACTAGAAGCATGTATGCCAAACAAAATGGTTTTTTTTACAGTTCAGTTTCATTATACAGTAACTGTTGCAAAAGGACCATAAAATGAACAATCTCAGCTGCTGTTTGTAATGTAGCGTTTAGAGGAACGTGGATGCAGAAGGATATACAAGTACCTTTAAGGTAGATTTTGCAAGTGTTTCTCGGTTCGCTTTGGGAAGCTGGGGCTGGGACCATGTCAGTTATTGCATTGGAATGTAATTGGTGGCACTTACAGTGAATGTTTCTGACTGTCAGTCATAGTAACAATGCATGTCACACGCAGTTTTGAGGCAGCCTTGTTTGGTTTTGCATACATTTCTTTCATGTCCTAAGAAATATGGAATGCCATTATTAGTGTGTATATGTTTTACGCCTTGCATAGTATCTGCCTGAACAGGACGTGTATTGATGTGTCAATTAATATATTTGTTCTGGTAAAATAAGGCTTTTTATTTACATTGTGTTTTAGCTGTATTTTTATACAGTTACTATTTTAAGTTACGTTAGGCTACGTCCTGGAGGAGAACCCTGTATTTTACTTTTAAAGCACAGAAGTACAAGCGCCGTATTTATCTAAAGTGAATGTGACTACTGAGGGACAGCATAACAAAGGTCTGATAGTTGGCTTGATAAAAAGAGCTCATTACTGAGCTTTCCAGCAAATGTGCTGTATAAGGACAGTCTTGCCTAACAGCAACAACTTGGTTCATTATATCATTATTACAGTTGGATTTTTTATGAGAAACCAAAGTTCCAGGGTCGGAAATATGTACTAGAAGAAGGAGAGACTGTGCTGGATCACCTTTGGGATATTCCGGGCGTGAAACATCGTCGAAGAAACATCACAGTTGGTTCAATCAAACATGTAACAAAGGTATAGACTTTATTAATAATATACTCACATACATAATTAATTTCTGTTGGCAATAGTGGTGTGTTACTAGCAATGGACAATGTGTGTATGCTGTGTTTCTGATTTTATTCAGATTTGCCATGAATCACATTTTTCACCTTCAGGATAAATTCCAGGGCTTCTGCTGCACTAAATTTTCCTTTCTTCCTGAAGGTAATGAGCAGATGGATTATCTTTGCCACCACCTTTATCTAACGCAGTGACTCCCCTCCTTTTAGATGTTTACCTGTTGAGTTAATTGAAATTAAATGGAATCAATTCATATTTTTCAAAGAAGCTTCTCTTAAACTATCTACCGTGTCTGCGTGGCTTCTGTTTCGGAAGTTAGTAGTTGGGTTTCCAATCCCATTTGTACAGCGTAGCCTCCAAAAATTACTATTGCTCCCTCTACAGCTTTGTGCCATCTGTAGGAATTCTGCGTGGACGAGTGGTACACCTACAGCATCTGGCTCTACGTACAGTCAGAAGTTCAAAAGGCGTTTTGTTGAAAAGATAGGAATCAAATGCCTAAATCTAAATATAATGCATCCATTGTTATTCAGTGAATGAGGAATATATTTACCAGATCTTGTGATTTAAGAAGACTTAGTGCTCTTGTTGTTTAGCACAACATTCCAGTTATTCACAGGGCAGTGGCCCTTTACTGTGAGTGAATTGTCATTTGTTTTGCAATGTGAAAGTTTTTCAGAAAAAGTGATGTTTCTCTGTTCTCTGCTGGTATAGAGGTAATTTTAAAATTGATAACCTTTTTGTCATCAGTACAGGGGCATAATGTCATAACAATTAGAAATACTTTTTCATTCTCTTAAAGACTTAACAATAAATAAATTCAAAAGAGGCTGGCTGAGGGCATGAATAATGAAGCTAACATTTATTTGAGCTACACAAGTTAAAAGCATTTGACCAATATGGAATATGAATATTGATCAATAACGTGGAAGGCAGCTAAGTAATTAAAGAAATACCACAAGAACATGTGGAACTATGGTCTAAAGCTGAGGGAAGCTGGGTGTGTCTTGGGTATCAAAGAAAAGAAAGCCTTGGATAGGAAAGACACTGTGGTTAGCTTCATCGTGCTTGATAAAAATCTTCGTAATACAACTAAGTAGGTTTGAGCATTGTTCTTCTTCCAGTATGTGGTTCATTTGTATGGAACACAGATGGAAGGCTTTGCTGCAGTACACTAGTTCAGTAATCAACACTGTTTCTCATGTAACTTAAACCTCTAGCAGGTATGGTTGGTTGGGAGGACTTTTGCTGTTAGTCCATAGGGCTGTATGGAGCTAGTGTGGGTGTGAACTCACTAAGCCGGGTTTTGTCTTCTAAACCTTGATTCGTGAAAGCATCCATCTTTTTTAGGTTGTACTTCAGCTGCTGTGGAACTACTTTTAGAAGGTAGTTTGCCAAAGTGCTACCTCTTTTTTTTTTTTTTTTTTTAAATATAGGCATTATTTTTAATTGACAAATGGCTGTTTCTTTTTCAGGCAGCTCATGTGTATGTGATCTGCAGGATCACATGTTTTACAATCATTATCTTTTTCATAGGCTGGGTAGCTCAGTGGCTTTTTTCCTACCTGGTTTGGTCATACTGGCTGTGTGTCCAGGCTGTCTGGCTTGTCTTCTGATTCTTCAAGTGGCTTTTTATGGTGCTTGTTTAACAGCTGCTCAGATGCCTTGAATTAGCAGATTTGAAAATTGACTAAATATTTGAGAAGAACATGGCTTGCCAAGAAGAGAAAAACAGATGTTTACTAAAGAAACTGTAGGAGGTACATTTAATATTATTTTTATTTTTTGCTGGCAGATGTTAGGTTGCTGAGAAACAGTCTGCCAGTAGCTTCGTGCTCTGATTTGGCTTCAAGCATCTACAAAAAGCAAAGGTTCTGTTAGCTTTGTGGTTAGCTTGTGGCTTGACTTACTGTGGATACACGTTATATGTATCCATGTGTGTTTAATTTGAAGGAACTTTGCGGGGGGGGGAAGATCCCAAAGGAACAGATCATGCAACTAGTAAAATGACGACCTATTTGAAGTAATGAGGAGTCTGAATTCTATTAAGGCAAGTCAACATGAGCCTAAACTAGCAAAATCTCCCTGCACTCGCAGGTTCAATGCAGCTCCTGCAGCACAATCTGTTTAGCCCAGTCAGTTCTCTGGTCTACTGCAAATGAATATATTGATCTTACGGAATTGGAGAGCTTTTTCTATCTGTTTCTGGAAGCCCGAAGAGGGTGCTAAATGTTACTTTCCTAAAAACAAGCGCTGAGAAGAGTTGCTGATGTTTCCATTCTGGTGTAATCTTGTAAACCACTATTTTGCAAGGTGATGAGATCTGAAACAGCAGTTTGTAATCTCTGTCTGCAAGATGGTTAGGCAGGGAATAACTGGATTCCTTGTGGACTGTACTTAAGCAAAGCTCTTTGTAATGGGAATGTTCACAGTATTACATGAAGGGTGTGTTTCTTTTGTTTGTGTGGTTTGCTAGGTAAAAAGGAAGTTACTAATTCAAACAGGGACTACTTTGTCAGATGCCATAGGAGGACACCCAGGAGCTTCAGATTGTCTCATTTGCTAGTTGGTATTTAGAGGATAGTAATCATTCATTTCTTTACTATTATTTTATTCTACTACCAACCCTGTTGAGTTCTGTAGTTTGGTTTGGTGGTGAAGGGTGGTAGCAAGAGTGGTACAGAGAAGGAGAAGTGGGAGAAAGAATTATGAATGGGTAAAAAAAGCTGGAGGACCAACAGAGAGTAAGATTTAAAATAAAAAATGATGCAGAAGCGGACATGTCCTAAGGACAAACTGTGTATCAAAAGTAAGATGCGTGTGTAGACTGTATTAAAAAGCAATCATGTGAATACCAGAACTAATTAGGCCTGGTTTTCAATAGACTCATCATTGTTTTGGCATTTAGCTTAAAGACTTCAGTCATTCGTTGTCCTGTTGTTGACATAAAAGGTTACCTCAGTTAAATAGGGTATTTTGATCACTTCAGTCACCGCAGCTTACAGCTCCAAGGAGGAGACCTAACAGTGCTGAAATTATTTAGCCCTGCTGGTGCTGTTAGGGCTGTAACCCTAGATTCAGAAGAAGGGTAAACAGCCAAGAGCGCCTTGAGGGGGTTGAAGGCTCTGGGTCTCTCACTTACGGTGGAGCTCTTGGTTGGACTAGAAAAATGTCAAGAGATGCCACCAAAGAGTAATATTTAATGCTAAGGTCTTGAGGGTCATCTTAACTCTCTTCAAAAGAAGCCTTAACCTTTCTGCTGAGGGGCGTGTTGCTGTTTGGAAGTGTCCGTTCTCTGCGAGCTAGTGCAAGTATTTCCTGTGCTTTTGTAACCATCTCTGCTCCCAAAAGACCATGAGGGAAGCACAGGCACTCCAGGATGACTCTGTGGAGGTAGGAGGAGAGTACCACAGAGTACAGGAAGACAGAGTGGGATGCCTGGAGGCTCTGACCTACCTAAGCATTTGCTGGTTGTGTGTTATCATTGGAAATGAACACAACTACCTAATCTGTTTGCTGTGCTTTTTATTCTGTTTTTGCCTGACGTGTCAGTAGGTTGATGAATATGGCATGAGTTTTGACTGCTTGTGATGGGGGTGGCAGGGCCGGGGTGGTATAGAGAGGAAACTTTCCAGTTTTGGATCTGACCTGAAACACCATGGTAATAGTTTTGCATGGTAATAGTTTTGCATGTGGCTATCTTATTTGAAAATCTTGACGCCTTGCAAATGAAAGGACTTCGGACTGAAGGATCTAGTTCTCAATGTGAATGCTATCATATTTGTGTGGTTTTCATTTTGTTCTAAAGATGGTGGCTTTATTACGAATGTTTAAGAAGCCTCTGAAAGTAATGATGCCTCTTAAATATGCTCAGGCAAATATGAACATGCTAGGGCAAATATTTACCAAGCTAAAGTTTACATGCTTAAATTATATACATTAATGGCATAGTACTTGAGTGTACATCTGCAAATATGTAGTGTTCACCTCATACAGCAATACTAAATTTTACCGTTTTCTGCAGTCTGTAAATTAATATCTGTAAATTGAACTCAATATTTAAGTCAAAATGTATATGTGATTTTAAAAAAAAGTGCTTAGAAAATATAATGTACTTCTTGCTCGAACATACTATTACCTTTAAAAATAGATATTTGAATTGCTTTTGATGAAGACCTCGGTTTACTATGTGACACTTTATGAAAGGATTTTATGGACTTAATCTAGTACACACAAAAATGCCATCGCAATGAGCAGAGGTTTTTTATGACTGTCAAAATCTGTCTGGAGAGAGATGGTGATAAATAGGAGAGATTTTATTATGAGTGCTTGTGCTTTACCTACCCTTTGGAGAACTGCTACATTCTTCACCTCTTGAGGTGGAGCCTGCCTCATGAGCTTCAGAGTCAGGAAAGCAAACTTGAAAAGAGAATACAGACTGGCTTTTTCCAATCTTCAAATGAAATACGTCCTACTGAATTAAAATTAAACATACTCCGTCTCATATTCAGTCTGAGCCCGCAGGCAAAGATACTTTATTTTGCCACTTGTCTAGTCTTGTAGGTACATTGCTTCAGAATTTACCTGAAACCATTAAGAGTCTAGCATCATTATTTGTGGAATTCTTAGAAGTGCAACTTCTGATTTTACGTATCGAGCTTTGTTGTTGGATTCACAGATTTCAGCCATATCACGTATAGGTATTATTTAGAAAAAAAAACCCAAACTTCAAATATTTCTTAACTGTAACTTAGTAAGATTCATATACATGTGAAAACTTTGAGGAGACTTTTTTTAAACTTGACTAGCAATACACTTAGAATTGAGGAATGGTGTTCCTTAGCACTTTGCCATAAAGTAGCATTTTGTTTTTGGATTCACAGATTTCAGCCATATCACGTATCAGGTATTATTAGAAAAAAAAACCCAAACTTCAAATATTTCTTAACTGTAACTTAGTAAGATTCATATACATGTGAAAACTTTGAGGAGACTTTTTTTAAACTTGACTAGCAATACACTTAGAATTGAGGAATGGTGTTCCTTAGCACTTTGCCATAAAGTAGCATTGTACTAGAAAGTCTTTTTTCCTAGTCTTTCAGGTTTTGCTCATTTGAAAATAAAAATTCTGGTATTGCAGTTTTTGTTCTGAAAATGAATCGTATGCATTGTTTGCAAGGTACAATAAAGAGGAAACACAATTGTGCATTAGGGAGAGTTGCCAAAACAGTATATACTGTGTTACTTCAGGTCTCAGAGGAAAGTGAAATAATATCCTGGAGTTCATCTGTCATAATTGCCACATTTATTGCTGCCAGTTAAATAACTGCTGAAAGAACTTTGCTAACCAAGAAGAGGTGTGTTTCTCGGTGGGATGTTACTCCATCATTTGAAAGCTCCACTCAAAACCTGTGTGAAAAAGGAGAGCATGCAGGTGTTGTCATGAGATGAGGTACTGTTACTTTAAGAGCTTTTGTGCCCTGTTGCTGGGTTTCCCTGCAAGCTCTTGTGTTTTGCCTGTGGGGTCTGGCAGAAGCCACAGGCCGTGCGGGTTCTCTCTCATGGTGTGACCCTGCCTGGGTCCTCAACAAATCCAGTAACCATGTGCTTCTCTGAGGGCACCCTCAGGGACAGCTTCTCATCCCTCTTCTCTAGTGCACATGCAAGGGGCATCTTCCTCCAGCCACGTTAAGGGCTTTCGAGGTCTCTTTATGCTGTCCAAGCCCTTTGGGCTAATGCAAATGGACCCGTGGGTCAGGAGGATAAGGGGAAGGGTGCTGTGAAGTTATCACTGAGAACTGAAGGTTTCCAGCTACAGCTGAGCAAACTCTGTAAGCACGTGGGACGCCTTTCATTGTAGCAGGAAGACTGTTCTGTAACGCACTGCTGAAGCAGGGCCTTGTAGAAGATCCTCATTGATTCGTGATGTGTTTGAATGCTGGGAAAGAAAGTATTGGCAATGCATTTTATACAAATATTATCAAATGAGTGTGGTTCAATAAAATCCCTGCAAATTCTAGAGAAGGTCACGTGTTCAACAAGTAGTTCTCCAGCATGGTATCTATTAGTAGAAAACCTTAAGTAAGGTAACAGAGGTTGTTGTTCTGTAGTAACAGGAAAATTGCTGAAGTGTCTGCTTAACAAAACAAATGTTGTCTAGTACTGTTCTTTTTCTTTGTCTAAAATGCTGTAGATTTATTTAGAATGACAGAAAATTGAACTTACATGGCTTGAAACCGGTCGGATACGTTACAGAACCTAATTATCACTGAGGGAGGGAGGTGGGGATGTAGTAGACATTTCTAGAAAGTTTTAGTTATGCATGCATCATATGATTCTATATGTGTGTTATGGAAGCACTGTCTTTAAAAAAAAAAAAAAAAAAAAAAAAAAAAAAAAAAAAAAAAAAAAAAAAAAAAAAAAAAAAAAAAAAAAAAAAAAAAAAAAAAAAAAAAAAAAAAAAAAAAAAAAAAAAAAAAAAAAAAAAAAAAAAAAAAAAAAAAAAAAAAAAAAAAAAAAAAAAAAAAAAAAAAAAAAAAACAACAGTATTATATGCATGGTTTGTCTATCAGTAAATACTGTCAGATCCTTTACTTGGAGAGTATTTAAACTGAGCTTTTTGAAAGTAGCCCAGCAGGCATAAATGCATAGTTCTTCTCTGAAAGTTAGTGGGAGCTGGAAATTTACTTCCCTTAGCTTTTCTAAAAATTCCAGTCTTCATTTAAAAAGACTAAAACCCTTCCATCATATGAAGCCTGGAGTTAGGGTAGAAGGGTGAGAAGACATGCAAAAAAAGAAGGAAGCATCACCACATCATTCCTCTGCTGCGATGGGGCAGACTCTGCAAGCATGGATAAGCCTTACCCTTTGATTTGTTTCCGCAGGACTGTGGCATTCCGGAGGTAGAGTTCTGCCTGGCAGCTGGTAGTACAGAGGGACTTCCTATCTGCATACAGAGTGCAGTTGCCAATTTAGAAGAACTGGATGTTGAGAAAAACCCTTACATAAGAGTCAAATCAGGAGTGTGAGTACTGAACCTTTTTAATAGCATATTGCCAGCAGGTAGAGGGTAACATCATGGGATGAAAGTCAGTCAGTAATAGGAACAGTATTTGGGGGGGTTTGCTACAAATCAGTTAACATATAGTAGATATTCCCAGCTTTACACTTCAGCATTGTGCTATGTGGGCTTCTAGTAGTGGAACCAAATTTTTGAAGGCATTTTTCCTCTAGTTGCTGGCAGAAGTCTTCTATAATTCCATCTTTGAGTAGCTTTATAAATAGAAGAAGCAGCTCAGCTATAATTAGCTTTTAGTTCGTTGGAGAATAGATACTGTCTCCCTGGTCACCCACCCTGTTATAACGGTGACACTGTGGCTGAATACCAGCAAATTAATACTACATCATCTAAGCATTTCTCAAGCTACAGCCATATCCTGACTTTCTGGAGAGAGATGATGCAGTATGATACAGGCCCCTTGGTAGCCCCGCATTTTCTGTATTGAGCAGAATAGTCTGTTTCTTGGGTAAATGGCTAACGCTTCACAGTTCCTGAAGTTTGGGAGTTCTGTGCCTTGTCTCATAAATCGTTGCAGAACGACATTAGCTATTCTGTTACAAGAGTGTTGAGTTTGCCTTTCCACGTGAGCCAAGCCTTCCTTCCCACAATATCACAATATGTCTGTGAAGCTTGAGGTGGTGAAGGAATTAAAAACAGTCTTGTCTTAGTTTTGATAGAACTTAGTGTAACTTTTAGCTGCTTATGGTCTGTGTTTGTGTTGTTCTAAGAAAATAATTTTCCATATGGCTCAATGCCTCTTCCTCCATTCCATATTTGGTCTACTAACCCTGTGTCCACCTTCTACATTCAGCTTTCTTTTTGATTTAAAACAGTCTGAAGGAGTCCCAGCATTTTTAATCTTCATGTCAAAATTACAATAGCCTGCTTTCCAAAGCAGTGTTGTAAATCATTGTATTTTAATAACTTCCACAGAAATAATGAAGTGGGATTGATGTTAGAAGCCTTTTAATTTCTAAGGTGGCAATCCTAAGTGAAATTTGATGCAAGTGCCTCATCCTCAGTACTGACATTGGTTTTGTAAACTCATAGTGCAACAAACTGGCTTCTTAAAGTGAACAAATGGGTTATTTTCTTCTCTTTCATTTATGTTTAGTTTGGACTGAGCAAAAGCATGTGAGATCTTAGCATTGATTTTTGCCAGTGTATTTAAATATAGCTTCGTTTTGATGTGCTGGCAGTATCTAAAACACATTATCTAGCTTTTACGAATACAAAAAGGAAAATAATTTTAATAAGAACTTTGTATTTGTAATCTATCTAATGAGATTAATAAGTCCTTTATCCTTATTGTTATAGATGGCTTGCTTATTCAGACTTTAATTACAAGGGAGAGATGAAGGTTTTGGAAGAATGCGATTCACCATCTGAAATTCCTTCAGCAGATGTAAAATCTCTGCGTCCCTTAAAAATGGTGAGGACTTCACAATTCCCTAATAAGTTGTGTGCCTTCCTTTTCCTATTGTTGTTCCCCAAAGGTTTTGATCTAAATATAACTTAGGTTCTAATGTCCTTTCAGGGTTAATCCTTATACGTGTAACACTCATCTCACGCCACGGTGCATTTGCAGTGTTGTAGTGGCACGGTGGTTGCTGTGGCTTGCTGGGCTTCTGCGTCTGCCCAAGTAAGACCACGTAGTCAGAGGGAGCGCCTGATTCACTAGGACATCTTCCTGGGAAACTGCTGTCGTTGAGTGGAGATCAAATAAGACAGAACTGAAAGGCTCTGAATTGTATTGCAGCTAACACCAATTCATTAACTAAAAAAGCTCTGCAGAAGTTGATTTTCTTTTTTTTTAATGGTACAGCTAGAGTCTACTGGGGGTGGAAGACCAGCTGAGGAATTTCTTACCCAGTAGTATTCCTGTGACCACACATAGCACAAAAATCTTCGGAGGTGCAGCTAATTTTTGTTTTGATAGACAGCATGTAGATTAAATATGAAAGAGATGTGGAAGGGTGTAACACATAATTCTACTGTATACATAGCAAGCCTACAGAAAGAGAGTTTAAAAGTCACAAAGGTGTAAGACCTAACAGCTGTCTTCTTAGTTGCTCATGGGAGGTAGGTGTCTTATTCCCTCACAGAACATCATTCGCTAACATTTCCAGAGAAAATGCATTTATTGTATTTGCTCTTTGACCATAGACATGAATATGTCAGCCTATATTTTCTCTCTCTTCTGGTGTTTATAGTTTCTTAGTGTTCCACCATTTGTGCTTAAGAAACTTGAAATATATACAACCAAGCTTTAAAAGTTAATTTTAAAAATTGGCCAATATAAATTAGTTAAACACAAAGTAAATATTTACTTTAGATTGCTAATAGACAATGAAGGAATATTTTTAAATTGCTTGCACCCCTACAGGCTTGTCAGTGCACTGATTTGTTTGTAGGTCAGGTTTATAGTGTCCCTGGCCTTTATGAATTATCAGAGTATTTAAACTAGTGTTTGATTTGGCCAACACTGAAAATGGTGAATATAATTACAAAGACTTCATGCTCTGATAGTACTATAAAATATGTGTCAAAGCATAACTTTAAGTTTTATATAAATATCTTTCCCCCCCCATCTTTTTTTAGGGTGGACTAAAGGTACAAATGCCAATGAATGTCAAGGTAAGCACTGAGGACATTGAGAATAAAATACGAGCACACTGGAAATATAAAACCTTTATTTAAGCTATTTTCTTTTTGTTGGGTATGTGATGTTTGATTAAGTATTCAGTGTTTGCTGCTGAAGAAAAATTCACTAATGCTGTCAAGTCCGCTTTCTTACTAGTGTTTCATGAGATGTAAAAGTAGTAGTAGTAGTTTGTTTTTTACATATTAGGAGAGTGTGAATTTGCTATAGAAGAATTGTAAAGCTTTTACAAAATAAAATGAGTTTTCCTGACTGACACATCAGTCACTGTAATGGAAAGGGATCAGGAGAGATTTTCCCATTTAACATACCAAGTTTAAAAAAAAGGAGGGGGGAGGGGAGGAAGGGGGCAGGAATAGGACCCTTCCTTCCTATGCTTGATCCCAATACAAGAGTCGTGAGTGAGACCATGATCCTTCTATGATTTGAGGAGCAGAAAGCTTATCTGGAGTTACTGCTCCTTTTCCCTCCTTTTTCTAGTTCTCCACAAAAATGCTAATGCTTTAGGTAACTTTTAATTATACAAATACACGCGAGACTCAGGTGTTTTTCTAATAAATATTCGGCAGATGAGGAACCTCAAGGAGGTGTTAACTGCAGTCACTGAAATAACTTCAGCAAAGTACAGAGAAAGACCTCTTGTCTACTTTTGAAGGATTAAGCTCAGTGTGTCTAGCTGTGACCGGGTAGGATTACCTGCAGGCTATATACACTGCCCAGGCACAGGATTACAGGATAAATCAGTCATGTAGCTGCAGAGTGCATTTATGTATATATAATTGTGTGAATAAGTATCCTTCTGTGGAAATGTCTGCAAATAGCCTGACAAGCCTATCTAAATCCAAATAGGGTCTCTTCAGCTTCGAGGGCACTCAAGAATCAGAAGGGCTGAGGAATGCAACCCTGAATTTTCTTCATAGTGATGGCTTGTTGGAGGGGGGGAAAAAAGGTGTCTTCCACAGCAGTACACACACCCAAACTTCAAATTACTATTCAGGGCGTACTCAAGGCATTGTTCAACATCATGTTTTCTAGATAATAATATATGAGAAAACCCACTTTGGAGGATGGTCCAAGGAGTTTTCAGAAAACATCGCTTCTGTCCCAGCTCTGTTTGGTAGTGAAGAGGAGTTTCAGGAAATTGGATCAATAAGTGTAATTGGTGGAGTGTAAGTATATTTCACTTTTATATGTATTTACTTTAAAATAGGAAATCATAACTAAATGCTAAGAAGTGCTAACTAAGGGGTGATTAGAATCTCTCACTGGTAAAATATTTTGAAAAGAAAGGAATATATATTTCTTTTGTCAATTATCAGCTTTGGATAAAACCACCTCTCCATATGGCTTATCTATTGAAGGGAGTATAGGAAGATAAAACTAAGTGTGTGAGAGGTGTGAAGTCAGTGTTTACCATTTGGATGCCAATCAACTAGGCCATTTTGTTCCTTAACGACAGCATTCACACAGAGCTTTAATTTATATTGCTTTATATTTCTGATAGTCTACTTAATTTACTGAAATGACCTTGGGTAGGTGTGGTCAGTCTTCAATTTGACATTTTAATGCCTCTGAAATCTATAAACTGTTTTATTGTCTCAATGGTTTTCCTTTGCCACCTGTTGCATGTTATCTGGAATTAAGAATCTACCCTTATTTTCCTTTGCTGAGGCCTCGGATTGATTCTGTGTTGCCCTGCCCCTCTCTGTCATACACACATGCACACAAAAAAGGCTGTATAACACAGTCCTTAGGTGGACTGCTCGTGAGGTAGGCTCAGTGCCAGCTATTCTGGGGAGCTGCCAACCCTACACATTGTTCTTTCAATCTCTCCCAAGACCCAACAGGATAGGACTGTTTGAAAGCACGCAGGATGGTTACTTCTGCCAAACAGCTTAGCAATAAAATAGTTTTCAGAAACTTTTTTTTTTTCTTAGGGGATTTCAATGCTAATACTTCAATATAAAGATTCAATAACATACATCCTATCAGGCTGTTGTCAGAATCTTACAAGCACTAAATTCAAAATAAACTTAATTGTGAATACTCAAATAATCTACTTATAAATACATTATGTATTCGCTATCTGGGAAGCCTCAAATTATTAAAAATCATCCCTCTGTTTCTTGTGGTGGCTTTTATTTTTAATACTGCAAAACTTAAACATGTGAATTAATGTAAAACAGGTGGTACTAAAAGTAAAGCTATCCCTGCCTGCCAAATTTCAACGCTGACAGAATTTGTACAGTAGTTCTAATACTTACAAGGGAGCTTTAATGAAAGAAATGCTTACAAGGAAGAAGGAGGGAGAAGCACTTTTTCAAATTAAGATCCATTAGAGCTGTCGAAGTTGATGTGGAAATGCCTTTTTTTAATCAAGCCTTATCTATTTGTTCAAAAAACTCTCAAAAAGTTTTATTCCCTTAGTGCTAAAACATATTCCATATGCAATATATTGTATATGTTCAGTTCACTTGTCTATTCATATTCATATATGGTTTTAGATTAGAGCAGGAAACAATATAGTCGGGTGAAATTTTGTCCTGCTGAAATCCATTAATTTTGTCACCAGCTCCAGCAAGGGTAGAATCTCATCATTTATTAATACACTGAAGGGATCTACTGCTTGTTTTTTATCATTGACAGTTGGTGGCTTACAGTGTTTTGGCCACTAGATGCGTACTAGCCCCTGTAGTACCGAATATTGGTATTGGGAATATGGCTGACTGAGAGGAGGTACATGGAGAAGCGTTACACAAATAAACTGTTGTTGTAGAAAGAATCACATGGTGGGATTTTGATCCACAAAGAACACTTCAGGGGTGACTGTTGTGATGTCAAACAAGCATTGCTTTGTTCGTTAGCTGAGTCTGTGATACTCATTTTAGTGTTCTTAGGATGTTCTCTTCCCCTTTTGTTTGTTATGGAAAATCATGTGTGCAGTTGTTTTGCTTTTAGTTATTTCTCTTTCTTTTGTTGTGTGGTTGGTGTAGATGGGTTGCCTATGATAAGGAACGCTACAAAGGCCATCAGTACTTGCTGGAGGAGGGAGATTATGAAGACAGACACTCATGGGGGGGAACTGACAGTGTCCTCCTGTCTTTCCGGTTCCTTCAGGCTGTAAGTACTTTTATGAATTTCACACAAATTATGCACAGTTCTGTACATAAAGAGGAAGGTTATTCTTCGTATATGGTACAGCTGTCTTTGGTTTAGTCATTCCACATTTTGCCCAAGTTCACTCTCATTCTTTTCCTACTTGCTGAAATTTAGACTGCACTGCATACATGCAGCAAGTATGCAGGCAGAAGCAGGTTCTAAGTAGCCTTTGTAATGTTCATACAAAGAATGTATCATGCAGAATTCCTTGTCTACCTGCCAGATTTTCTAAGTATCTCACTTCTGCACTTCAAGCTATTTGAATCTCTGGAACACAATTTTCTTAAGTCTAACATGTGTAAGTGTACAGTGTAGTTCTTTATTAAAATAAAAACAGCTTTTCAACACAGCAGCTGTTGCAAGCCTTAAAACAGCATTACCCTCTGTCTCTGTGATTTCTGTGCCAGAAAATTTTGGCAGCAAAAATAATCATGGTGAAAAAATCCCTGCTACTAAAATGTGTTTAGTGGGGACAAAGATGAAATGATGATAAAAACTATATCAGAGTCCAGTAGTGGAAGCAAAGTTAGACTTTCCAGTGATGGGGAAACATGGGATTAGAACTTCTTTATCATTTCCTTTGGTTTGGGTTTTTTTTTGTTTGCTTGGGGGTTTGATTTTTTTATTATAATAGGACCTCTGTGAGCTTTAAATACAGCTGCAAAGAGTGGCTCCTTTGGAGAATTAGGTTGTTCACTCTGAGATTACTTAGTCTTGGGGGTTTGATTTTTTTATTATAATAGGACCTCTGTGAGCTTTAAATACAGCTGCAAAGAGTGGCTCCTTTGGAGAATTAGGTTGTTCACTCTGAGATTATTCAGTCTTGTGTACTCAGATTACTCATCTCCTCATCTGAGGAGATGTGATATTTCTGAGCCAGGAAAATTAATGTGAACCCAAAAAGGCCATGCTTAAATTCACAATTTGCAGTTTTGATTTTTATGAAAGGCACCTAGGAAAAGCTATATTTATAATCAGAATCTATCATATAACTTAAAATAAAGATAGAATAAACTGAATTGAAGAAAAATATTCTTCTCTAAATAATTTATTTTCAGGTTTCTGAGAAAACCAGGCAGGAATTTTCCTCTAACTCCTCATTTTGAATGTGCAGAATCCTGTTCAATTACTGACTAATCTTAGTTTTTCTTTCTTTTCAAGCTATACATAGGATACTTGAGTAACTTCCAGTCATCTTTTTAAATCTTCCTCTTAGCAAAGGACATGATTACAAGCTTAAAATTGTGCATGTGCCTAGCAGGGATGACCTTCCACATATATGCATGTATTTAATTTGACCCATGCCTAGAACAGTCAGGATGCTCAAGTCATTAACATCTTAAAAATTGTATCATTTGCACTCATATATCAACATATATCATTCAAATTGGCATATAAATTTATATCAATATGTACGTATTGATAATAAAAGTGTAAGTAATACTTTCCCTCAAATTGTAGCATAACTAAAGGCAATGAGCTAGTTGCCAATAAAATGACTAATGGCACTAGCATTTTGTTGTTTGGCTTGACCAACAGATTGACCGCCTCTATCTGATGTGCAATACATAGGTCAGCGTTCAGGCTTGCCATATGCTCTCTTCGTGACTTTGTATACGATGCTTAAGGTCAGGATTTTAGAAACATTTTAGTACCAAACTCTTGTTTTCGGGGGGACCTGGGCAAAAATCCAAAACTAGTTCTGTCCTCTTAATGCACCTCGCTGCACAGCGAATGTACTAACTCTTCTCCGTAATCTCAGAAATTCTGTTAGAAGTGCGGTGAAGGTTGTGATGGTCTCGGACTCTGCGGGGGTGTTCCTGGATATCAGATCCTTAGTGCTCTTCCCTAGAAATTCTGTTTTAGTCAGATGAATTCAAGAGTCTCTGTAGAAGATTAAGGACTTTGTGAAATGTAGCTGAGTTGCATTATTCATGGTCAGCTTAGGTAGGGAGTGGGGCTGGACAGTGGCCCTGCTCTTGTATGTGCTCAACGATCCAGCTAGACTTCCTGCCCTCCCCCACCCCTTCTCCTTGGGCATGACACTAGGTGACCTTGACTGTGTTGGCTTTAAGGCCAGCACAGACCTGAAAACAATTTAGCCTGGCTCACATGGCATGAAGCTGAAGCTAATGAGCCCCGTGTACCTGATGAGTCAGCTCCAGGCAGAGTTGGATCAAATGTCTTTGTAGATCAAATGTCTTCGTAGACTTCCCTGCTCCCAAAGCAGGGAGTGTGGTACAGAAGCACGTAAATGGCTCTGCAGAGAGCCAGGCTGGGTACGGCATGCCTCGTTAGCCTGTGTCAGTACCAGCTCTGTCAATGTGGCTTAGTACTATGCAAAGCTATTCAGATGTTGCTGCGCCACGGCGCTCAACATGACAGGTTTCACCAGAGCTTATTAGCGCTAGGAAAATCCAACCCATGTTTCTGTACACATACCAGTGACTGCAGTTGAGCTGAGGCATGAATTCAATTTCCTGACAAATCAGAAAGGTTAGACATCGCACACAAAAGAGGGACTGTTACAAGTCACCCCTCCCCACCCACTGGTGAAGATGTACACGCACGTAGGCATACTGCAAGAGCTTTCAGTTTTTGTCTGTCTTATTCTGCTGTGAACAGTCACAAGCTCTAATGTAGGGATGCAGGGAGTGTTTTGAGAGCGGAGGTAGAAGGACTTGTAGAATTGTTTTTTCCAGCATACTGCCAGCTCTGTTATCAGCATCTATATTGGACACACTGGAGTCAAATTATACAGGGCTTGTTCCTGAGGGCAGACAGCAGTTTGTACTGCGTGCTGGTTTGGGGAACAGTTGCATTTGCTTCTTTTCTGCAGTGTCAGATGAGAGAATTTGTGAAGTTGGGGGTTCCTGTGGCTGTCGTCATCAGGGAAAGAGTGAATTTTCTGAGTCTCTTTCAGTGGAGCAGAGTCTGTTCCCTTTGGAGCTTTCCCACTAATGTTTTCAAGTCTAAAATGATTTGCCTTGGTCTGAAAGTCCATTTTTAAGTATTTCTCCTATTGCTTATTGTAAAAGAAGCTGTATTGAAAATTTAGGGAGGAAAAAATGATGGCTGAATTTGAAACATGTTTTAAATGTAATTACAATTGTGGATATATTTCAGTATTTTAAATTTAGTCAAAGAAATTATGTGCAGATTTGATCTAAATGGTTTTTCAGGAACTCTTGCAAAGTCCTTGCTTCAGGACTGTTAAGAGTAGCTGTTTTTCATTTGCACTAAAACTGCACTAGCTGCCCCCCC